AGTACCAAGTTCGCACATCACTGAGCTCGGTCGCAGAATCGTCGCTGTTTTAGGTCAAAAGCGGTTTTAGACCAGGTAGAAAACAGCGATAGTAAATTAGAACTACTTGCAGAATTGAGTGATAGCGATTCGTTGGGAAATTCCTCAACAGACACTGAAAGTGAGGACAGCGACGATTCTGCGACCGAGCTCAGTGATGTGCGAACTTGGTACTTTATATACTGTGGTACGGATCAGGCAACGCCCCCAGAATTACCATTTACTGGACCATTTTTTTTATTATTATATTATAATTTTTTATAATTATTTATTATATTATAATTTCTTATAATTGTGAAAAAGTGTCAGGCAGGGCACTGGACAAAGCTCTAGGGACAAAATTGAAGTGAACTAGTTTGATACATAAGTGTAATCATAGCAGATTACATTGTATTGTGTGTATTCTGTGTACATTGCAACTTTTCACTTTTGAATTTCCCGCCGGCTGTGACACCCGAAAACGAAACTAAAAGTCAGATGCCGGCATCGGCCGGCGCGTACAGCAGAGGACGCCGCGAGCTCGCAGGGACAAGGTAAGTGACACTTTTCTGTGCATTCCCGAGTTTGGCTCGGGGTTACCGCTCTTGGTACTGAAAATTAACCCCGAGCCAGACTCGGGAATACCGCCAGGGAGGTTAAGAGCAGTGCTGCTTAAGGACTGTATGTTGTTACAGTGAGTTGATTGGCTCAGCTCTCAGCAGTACTAAAGTGTTTGTGGGAGTTGCAGTTTCATCACAGGGAGAGCCAATAAAAAGTTACGCAGCACTGAACTACCACTCCCAGGAGGCTTTGTAATCTGGAAGTGTGTACTCAGCCTTCCCGTAGAGCGCATTCAGATTGGCAAGGGATTTAGAAGTTGCTGGACATATTGTTAAAGTGCTGCCTGATAGTAATCTCAGGGGAGCAGTGGCAGAACTATCAACCTAGAGACCCAGGTGGCCGCTATGGGGCCCAGGACACGGGTGGTCCGGCCATGACCAGGAACAAAGGGGTCCCCCTAATGCTGTGCAGGCTGCTTGGCTCGCTATGGCAGTGCAGGCTGCAGGACTGTCACTGGTGGCTGTGAGGAGGAATGCGCCCCTGTCCAGAACACTGACAGGGCTGTCTAGAACACTCACAGGGCTGTCCAGAACACTCACAGGGCTGTCCAGAACACCGACAGGGCTGTCCAGAACACCGACAGGGCTGTCCAGAACACCGACAGGGCTGTCCAGAACACTGACAGCGGCTGTGAGGAGGAATGTGCCACTGCACAGATCACTGACAGGTTGTCAGTGATCTGTGCAGTGGCGCATTCCTCCTCACAGCCGCTGCTGAGTCAGTGACAACACTTATACAAAGATTGGCATATGATGTTATAGAGGGTTCCACCATCACTCCAACCATACAGAGTGTATCCGTGAACCCTCGGGCTGAGTCTAATCTAACCCTGGTATATAATTAATCTCCGCAGCTGAGATCCACCGTCATAACCCGTCGGATCGTTACAGGAGTAGGCTGACAGTAGATCGGGGCTGACAGGTAAGAAGTGTGCAGGGGTGTGACTTGCCCACCTGAGATCTTGCAGAGCCCACCTTAGAGAGACTATGGTGGGCTCTGCAGAGTCACTCTCAGATGGGCTTTGTGGGGTCTCAGGTGGGCTATGCGAGGTCTCAGGTAGGCTCTCTAATGTTTCAGGTGGGCTGTGCATGGTCTATGGTATGTGCAGGGTCTAAAGTGGGCTCTGCAGTGTGTCAGGTGGGCTGTGCAGGGTCTATGGTATGTGCAGAGAATCAAGTGGCCTCTGCAGGAACTCAAGTGGGC